AAATCGCTTAGGATAGTTGGACAACGCGTAGGGCACCGATTCGCGGCCTCCGACAGGGGATCAATGAGCGACAAGGATCGGAGTTGGTGTGTAGGCACCGGAGAAACAAAACAGCCACAGTCGATGCTGAACTACGGTGCTATTATACAAAGAGTAAAAGATCAAAGTGACAACATACTTCAACAATGTCCTCAAACAAAGACAAGTACAATCAGTTGGCCGTTACAAGAATAGGACATCAATACGGTCGTCCAGTCAGCAAAATGACCCAGCGCGGTTACATGACATACGAGACATGCACCAGTGAGCCAATCAAGAAACCAACAGCCACTAGTCCAATCACATCAAGCAGGTTCAATGAATGACACATTATGAAGACCTGAGGTTAGGGGCACATGTCAGCCGGATGGGTGGTGTGTTCACCCACAAAATCTCCGGTCTACCCTGACCTCAATTGTAACACGCAAATGGAACAAGTGCGAAGCAGCGATCGATAAAGTGGAGCATGCGTCAAAGAAAGTAGCGAGACAGGTGGTGTAACCATGTAAGGTGGGCATGGAAGACAAACGACTAAGGGTCACGCAGGGCGGTATACTTGGAACGTTCAAACAGAGTGAATTCAAGGGGAATTAGGGCAATAATGTGGGTCCAGGCGAAGGGTGATGGCTATTGACAAAATGGACGTTACATGGATAACATTCATTCCACTTTAATTGGTTGGTTTTGCGTGCTTGGTAATCTTCTCCTAACTTGCACACGTCGCTCATGCCAACGGTGGAACCGTTGCGTAACTTGATCCTGTAGTAAATTTTAAATAAGCTTCGGGCATTTTGTACTTTTCGTGGACTAGCTTGTAAACAATTTGCTCCATATGCTAATTTAGCGAGTATTTATGTCATCATATATGTTATCATATTTGTCATATATGTTATCATATATGTCATCATATACGTTTACTTTATTCGATACCATTTATGGTATTGGCATTTCGAATGATTGGCTGTTATTTGACATCCCAGGGGTGACTGCGCATGAGGTGCATGTTGACAAGGTGCCTACCTGTCTATCACCCACTACCTTGTTCATACCAGCTCCAAGTGACGGTTAATCGTTGCTGGAGGGGAACGGGGTGCACAGTCCTTAAGGCCGTGTAAGGCTGGACGAGCGGTTCCATGCAATCAGTGTGGAGCGGACTACGGTCCAGCCACCGCCTTGTTTGCGGTTGATTCCCAGCTACAGCACGCTTGTGTTTGTCTTGATGGAGTGTGGTCCGGCTCCGTTAATTAAAAATGGCTCCAATCCGCATGCCTCCCGGTCTTATTCCTTCGGGTTTACACTGGATATGTGGTGTGTTGGTGGAGCTGTGGGTGCTGCAGCGCAAGCCATCCATGGCCCCTCTGTAGCCGAAGGCGTTCTGTGGCTGGCCACAGTGACAATCAAATCCGAAACCGGATGCCGCCAAGCATATATATATATATAGTGATATGTAAATCCTAATAAAACTTGCCAACTAGCTGTCAAATAGAATACAACTGCCTACCACGTAGCTTAACAAATGGTTTGTTCTCGTCAATTCGGGGCACGTCTGCAAAGACGTGATTCTGGTAAGGAAAACGAGTACGCTCTGTAATAGCAAAAATGCTAAAAGGTAACTAGTAACATACTGGATTTATGTGCGTTGGTGCATATGTATGCGCGCAGGTAAATGGCCATGTTGAGTGAATTTGTTACCTTCATACTAGATTTGTGGTTTTGTGAGATGTGTAAGACATAGTAAGAATAAATCACGGGAATCCTGCAAAGTGAGGAGCGTTCGTGAAAAGCGTAAGATCCTCCGGAATGCAATGACTGGTGATTTTAATAGTTAACGTGCTACAGCTGCCTTGTTAATGAGTGTTTAACCGGACATTTGTAATGTCTATAGTAAGAACGCTTGCTAAGCAAAAGCCAAATAGTCCTGAAACACAGCCGTTGAAGCATTAGCCGGAACAGGAAGGACCAGAACCACCCAGCTGGAACCATTGCGAGTTTTCCACCCAACGAAGAAACCAGGTTTAGTAAGATGGTGAAAAAAAGGCCTATAGTTATCAAAAAAGGTATCGGCGAGAGATAGACAATCCTGTGCAGAGGTTACCGCAGTCTGGACCCTGTCAGGAAGTAGAAAACTATTTATACATGACTAAGGTTTCGACGAGAACTGCTGATATGAGGATCATAGATACAGAAGCTGTAATGGTGAGGTTTATAGTATAGAGTGAATATAACGGACAGGACATTATGGTGACAAAACCAGTGTCTGTTCATTGAGATGAAGGTTAGAAATCGTAGTAAGTTGACCATGCTAATGAAGGAATATAATGTTTTGATCTAAGGCTTGTGAGATCGTTAATCAGCAGAGGCTCAATTTTCGATTAGGGATTGGATACCGCAGTATAGATAAAATAAATAATTGCGTGAACACTTTTATTCTCGATAAGACTGGTTGGCGGCATCCGGTTTCGGATTTGCCTGTCACTGTGGCAAGCCACAGGACGCCTGCGCCTACAGAGGGACCATGGGTGGCTTGCGCTGCACCACCCACAGCTCCAAACACACACCCCATATCCAGTGTAAACCCGAAGGAATAAGACCGGGAAGCATGTGAATGGGAGCCACGTTTCATCAACGGAGCCGGCCCACACTCCTTCACAGGCAAACACACGCACACTGCATTTGGGAAATCAAGCGCACACAAGGCGGTGGCTGGACCGTAGTCCGCTCCACACTGAGTGCATGGAACCACTCTTCGAGCCTAACACGGCCACAAGGACCGTGCACCCCGTCCCCTCCAGCAACGACCAACTTTCCCCTGGAGCCAGTATGGACGAGGTAGTGGGTAATAGACAGGTAGGCACCTTGTCAACCTGCACATCAAGCGCAGCCACACCGGGAATAGCACGCAACAGCCAATCACTTGAAAGGACAAAATGAAATGCAATAAATCCAATAATGCATACAGATACGGTGGCATAACTCTTCGCTAAATTACCATATGAAGTAAGTTCGTTAGCAATGAATCCGCGATAAGGAAAAAATGTCCACAAGTTACTCCAAAATGCTACAAACGCAACAAAATTACCGAAGATAAGCGCAATTAGCGTAAGCGACGTGCCAGCTAATAGAAGACTATTCAGATAGGCAAAACTAACCAAATAAAGTGGAATGAAATTTATGCAGCTTAAAGAGACCTAGTTTAATTGTAAGTTGGTTTAGCCCAACTGAGGTGAAGTATAGGCACCCTAGTACAAGCATAAGCAAATGTGTGGCAGGGCCACAGAAACACTATAAGCGTGTGCACATAAAACGGTAAAGGTAACTGTTGGCAAAATATACACCTCGAAAAGGTGAACAGAATTTTCGCACAAGTAAGTTACAACAAGAATGTGCATGCGAAATAGTGTCACAGAGAAAGGTAGCCCCAAAGCGCGGTAAATTTGAAAGTGTTTCTCTTACAAAACTCAGTGTCGTTGATGGGTTCGAATGGTTCTGGATCTTGAGCTCCATTTTCCCGTTGGTGAAGGAACCATCATCATTCATTATTATACACACCAGATAGAGGTGGAAAAAACACCTCCGCTATTGTGCCGCAATACATGAAAGAAATACATACATACAAACATATAATACTATACACAAATGAAAAATAGATACAACAGTTGCATGCCAGCTGAGCTACCAGCAACGGATGGGCATCGTTCAGGTAAGCTACCAGCCAGCTACTAGGCAAAAAGAAAAAAGTATTATGTTTTACCCTAGGAAATGAGATCGTAGATGGAGGGGCAGGCTAAAAGGGATGGGGAGGGACAAAGAAACTCACAGCACAAACGCCACTGAGGTCGGCACCTTGCCATGTCAGCAAGTGTATCCAGCCAAACGTGCTCACCGTCTTTTGGACCCCAACCAGGGAGCCGTAACGCTCCAACCGAGGCTAGCTCGGAAGTGAGGGACTTCATTCCCCTGGACCAAGTCATCGCATGGCCACCTCTCCTCTTCTTCCACCCACATCCCCGGTGAGCAAACAACGCACGTCGAGGGAGTCGGTGGGCTGGCATGCGTAACACGGGGCCGAGCCATCGGAGCCTGATGCGTGCAATGACGGTGCTGAGCGGTTCAGTTCCTTTTCCTGGGCCGTAAACTTTGCGTCGAACACGCTCGTTACTCACGCGGTGTTCCCACCAGATGTGAGCCAAACTGCGAAGGCACCGATGGTCGAACGTAACTAGCCTCTTCATGTCCGCCATCCTCAGGGGCCAGGTTTCGCAACCGTACAGTAAGGTCGAACATACCGCTGCGTTGTACACTCTACCCTTCAGGGCGAGCTTAATGTCGCGCCGCCGACATAGGTGGCGAAGGTTAGCAAAAGCACTTCGAGCTTTCGCTATACGGTTCGGGGTCTCGTCTTCGATCCCAAGGGCGCTTATACAACTTCCCAGGTAATTGAATTTCTGAACGACTTCTAGCTGATCCCCACCAAGGGTCAGCTCAGGAGGCGATCCCTGCCAATCTTGAAGGAACGCTTTGCACTTCGATGGTGCAAAGCAAAGCCCGAAGCGGCTGTCTGCCATTGCTAATCTGTCCAGCGGGGCTTGGCACGTCTGGGAGCTGTTACAGATGAGGGCAAGGTCGTCTGCATACTCCAAGTCAAGAAGTCGTTCTCCTGGGAGTAGCTCCACACCTTCCAAGTCATGTCCTGCAAATGCAAACTCCATGCCTTCGTCAATAGCAAAGTTGAAGAGCAAAGGTGCCAGCGGGCATCCTTGTCTCACACAGCTGGAGATATTGAAGGGTGGCGACAGCTTGCCGTAAGCCCTCACTCTGCCCGTGCTACGCGCATATAATGCTTGGATAATATTTACATATTTCTCGGGCACACCTTTCCTGAGTAAACAATTCCGAAGCGCACATCGGTCAACCGAATTGAAGGCACCTTCGATGTCGAGGAACACGGCTAGGGTGGGCCGCTAATATGTGAGGCGGTGCTCCAACAGCTGACGCAAGGTGAATGTGTGGTCGATGCAGCCACGACCACGACGAAACCCGGCTTGCTCCTCACGAATCTGGGTTTCACGAGCGCCAGTCAGTGTGTGAAGAATTATGGAGGCGAGTAATTTGGAGGCGATGGAGACCAGACTGATTCCTCTATGGTTGCCGCATTCCGAGCGCAAGTCGCCTTTGAGGATGGAAACAATAACGGAGCGGCTCCAGTCGGTTGGATTAGTCTCCTGCGCCCACAGTTTCACTAGTACTTCATGTAAAGCATCAACAAGAGCAGCGGCTCTGAATTTGAAGAGGGCTGGAGGAAGGTCCTCTGGCCCCGCGGCTTTGTTCAACTTCAACAGTCCGATCTCACGTTCGACTTCTGAGCAAGAGGGTGGATCCAAAGGGACAGCCCACGGAGCAGGGCGATCAGTGAGCAGCGAATCGAACAATTCTAGCCGATTAAATTGCTTTTCAAAATGCTCAGCCCAACGCTCCAAACGTTTTGACAAATTGTGGATAGGCTGTCCACTCATCACAAATTGTTTCACTAACATCGGGTCTCCGGCTGCTCGTTTCCCGTATCAGACGGAATAACTTACCATGGTTTCCAAGGGCAGCGGCCACTTTCATCTCTGACGATCGATGAGACCACCAAAGTTCGCGGTCTCTCTTCAGGCTAGCGCGGAGTTTTGCCCGGAGCTCTTTGCGAGTTTCATTGTGCTCGCTTCCAGCCGGGATATGCCGGCGAGCGTCGATAAGTTTCAGAGACCGAGAAGAGACCCAATGTCCATGTTTGCTTTTGGTGAAGGGACCGGAGAAAATATTTGCTAAACATTTTTAGATGGAAGGTTGAAACTTTTTTCTTACACACAGTAGCCCGAGTGCTTTGGTTCGTATGTCGTAGTGGGCACGAATCTCGGCCGTTGAGATCCGTGCTAGTGTGAAGCAGAAAGCAGTAATGTTATTTTGGTGACGGGTCGCATCCGCCACGTCGCAGTGTTGTTAAACAAAACTACCTGGCACTTACATTGCGAACGCTGGCCAGACAAATACCCAACTCGTCCTGAAACATTGCCATTCATCCCAGTTTGAACAATAAGGGGTCACTGGTAACGCTTCTCAAAAAGCGATTATTTGCCCAGTTATTCGCAGTCGTGTTACTGCCAATTTTTCCGTTGTCTGTTCGGAAAGCTCCAACAGGACTCCCTAGCTTTTACTACCGGTCCATCTAACAGCTTTTTGATATAAATGTCACTAGTTATATGAATTTGAGCCCGAGCGATAAACTGTGGACGACTAAAGCCAGCATTTAGCGTATTTAGAGTATCCCCGAAATCTTTATCTCATTCCAATATAAACCGCTAACCATCGATTCCATGGAATTCCCTTGAAAGTATTACACAAACTAAGATAACAACGTCTCAATTACACTAGTTAAACTCAGCACATTAGGTTGCGAACTGTGTGTAGAAAACCAATGCTTCAGCAGGTCGCCAACAAATCGGATAATCGACAGTTCCGGAAACCCACAAGTGCATCCCATCACTTGACGTGTATTGGCTTGTGTCGTCGAAGTGAAAGGATAAGTCGTGTGCGAAGACACCGCAACGGACGGTAGAGCGTGCAGCGACGAACGGTAGAAAGTTCGGATCAACGGAGGAACGGAGGAAGCGATAACGCTAAGCTGGATCAACAATTGGCTGTGCAGTTACCTCAGTCTTGCCGGGTGAAGACACATTGCTGCTATCGGCTGTTGGCCGATAGTCGACACAGATCAGCCGCTACTCTACGTTCAACTTAGTTGGGGTGATAAGTTGACTGTCGTTACCACTTAATATGGCCTCGATAGAATTAATTCTAACTCCTGAACACGCTTGTCAAAGGCAGGTATGCGATCGGTAACAGGAACATGGAAATACGGTAGAGCAGCAAAAGTTGGCATATAAATCATCAGGATTGAATCTTATGCGTCCACTGGTCAACTGTAAGTAGGAGTAGACGTAGTAATGCACACTTTAAGCGTAGTCTAACGCACCGGATGATTCCCAGGAAAAAACGAGCAAAAAATGATGAAGCAGAAATCGTTAACGTGGTTCTGTAACAGTAAATGTAAATATACCAAAAGGACTTACGACTAGCTTTGTGGAAGTAGGCTCAAGGTTACTCAGCAGTGTGTTTAAACGATCACCACAATCTGTAATCCGGAGCAGAAGTAAACGGAATCAGCAGTGAATTTTGGGTAGCCATGAGACGGAAAGCAGCGGCCAACACGTTAACGGTGAGGTGTGTAAACTGGCGCTACTAGGACGGTGTTTCAGTTAACCACAGTAACGCGAAAAAACGAAGGTCGCGGCCGTAATTTATAATCCTCGTAGTTATGCAGGTGTATAACGAAAGTAAAATAAACTCTATACATTTGCTGTAGTGTACGGGAAACAGTAAAAGATTTTAAATAACATTTTGTGCATGTATAATTCAGCACGATGTGAACATAAACGCAGAAGACAAAGTTAACCGTGCATTATCCCAAAATCTACAATGCCGTCCTCGATATGTGAAACAGTGTTCGGGTTACCTCGTACCACTAACAGCATAGTTTGATGGATACACATGTACATTTGTACTTTTAATAGTTAAGCGCATGTATTAGCTTGCTGAACAACTTGCTACGTCACAAAAGGCTGGACTAAATTCTACTACACTATACACATACCCATTGCCGGCGCACCGTCCTTAAGCACTCTGGTGCTCGGAGGAGGCACCGTGATAGCCTACCATTAAGCGTTGATGGTCATTGCAATGGCAGCCATCCGCGGAATAAAGAGCAGCTATGTGTCAACTATGAGAAATTAATTGCTAGGTGCAGTGATACATAACGTTGGTTGAAACGTTACATGCGCTGTCAAATAAGCGGAGTTGCACTACTTTTCACTCTAATGTAAGGTGAGGAAAGGACACAACTGCAAGTGCATGGATCATATGGTAGGCTCTCAGGTTTATCTCGGCACGAGTGTGCAAAACGGTGACCATTGGACACAATTAAAAGTTCGCCGTTTGTCACCCACCCTACAAATTATTTCTCTCAAAACAAATAAAACATCTGCCAAATCGGATGTTCAATCGTCGACGCAGCAAACACATAAGTGACACTGTCAAAGCAGCGAACGTCTGGTTAGGTGATATATAAGGTATGCTTTCCATTACCACCGGCTTACGATAAAACAATTCGCTGGTTGGTAGCGGCATCCCAGTAAACAACAAAGCTACTTTCAAAGACCGTGGAATACCTCGAGTAAGTAATTTTCTGAAAGTTTAAAACGCTGTATTGGACAATGGGCAAAGCTCGGGCGGTGCGCTTTAAAAACCGGTTTGAACGCAGTAAAAAGTGAATGCCACTGCTGCATCCAAAATGACTATTCATCGACAACTTTAGTTTTATACGATCGTGTGTGTTAGAATGACTTTAAGGGTAATAGCACCTTAGTGCAGTGAGCTTAATGTGTCTGGCTACTACTATAGCTGCTTACAACCAGCAAGTAATTGTGTCTCGAGCATTTGCACGTATGGTCATCAGATCATGAACTCTATATGGCATAGCATTTAGGTGTTTGGACCAAAAGCCAATCAGATCATTACCGAAATATCGCGGCCTACTCAGGGGTAAAACGTGTAGGATCGGGGGTAGGCAATAATAGTAAATAAATAAGTTGTATTTTTAACTGTGCGAAGCACCTCCTGGTGGCATGACGTGGGTACAAACATTCATACTATTCTGCTCGAAATTTCAAAATAATGAGTTAAAAGCTGGTCAGATATTGTCGGTAAATAAGATACGGGTGACCCTAAAAGTGCAGAAAATAACTTATAAATAAATAAATAAATATTTTATTCTCGACTTTGCGAGGCACGCCCATGGAGGCATGATCAGATATGTACAAATGTACAGACATTTTATAAATAAATAAATAAATAGTTTATTCTCAGTTTCCTAGAGACCCACCAACTCAGGCATGATCAAGGTTTAAAAACAGATGTGTATCACGACGATACATCGGGTTTCAATCGTGTGTAGTTGAAACGGTGTCGGCAAGAGTTGAAATGTGAGTCTAGTCGACTTGCCAGTTGGTAGTTGTGGGCAGTGACTTTATTCAATGGCGAGTCACATCCGCCACGTCGCAGTGTTGTTAAACGGACATTTGTGGCTTTTTATAGGGAGAACGCTTGCCAGGCGAAAACCCACCACGTCCTGCAACACTGCCGTAAAGCATTTTGAACATTAATGTTGAACTGGCAAAGCCGCTTGACGACTGGTTTTACCTTCGGTTTTTCGCAGAGTAATGGCTTCTAATTTTTGCTATTAGTTGGACAGGTAATTTGATCGTTGCCTCTCGTTGATTCTCGTTAATAGTGTCAAGATTTATGGGGTATAGTTATGTGTTTGAGGAAAATAATTATTGAGTCTAAAACAAGGTGATAGGATAAAGCCCAATAACTAGCCACAACTGAGCAGTGGTCAGAAGTAGGATAAACAAATAAGCTTTTAGTCTCGGCTAAGTGAGGTACGCCTGCACAGGAAGTATCATAATAATAGTGCAACAGTTTAGGGAGGAATGTATAATTGGCTTGTCTTAGGAATGTTATATATGTCGATACATTAACGGCGTTATGTGTGCTTGTAGGTGAGTGTAACTGTGTGGCTTGGTTTTGTAAAGGTGTTTCGGTTTTTGCGTGTGTCTAAACGTCTCGTCAATGTTAAAGGAAAATTGAAGCTACTTGGATTCGCAATGTTTGTACGGCAGAACATTAAGGTAATGGCATGCAATGCTTTACCATTGTGAAACAATGGGCAGAGATTTTACTTAGTGGCGGAGCAAAACCGCCATGGCACAACGTTGTTAGACGGACATTTCTGGCTTTTCCGGGGAAAACACGTGGCAACCGCAAGCTCACCACGTCCTGAAACACCGCCGCAGCATTAAATGTTGAGACGGGCTAAACCCGAACCACCCAGCTGGCACCAGATGGTGGTTGAAGAGTAAGGTTGCTTGAAATACTAGCCGTGTTCAAGTGCATCTTCTTTATTATTGGTTAAAAGAACCTGTAGTGACCATGACATTGTACTCCATCAAACATCACATCCAGACTGGTACACATTTTGTTTTACTTTGCACCCATCCAAAGCCTATATATACTGGACTGCAATTTTGAACCAGGTCCGCCGTCTTGCCCGCGCACTGCAGTCTGTTGTGCTCCGACGTGGTGTAACTCTGCTTCACCACTCTCTCCCATTGTCCTCAAGCTATATTTTCATAGCTATTGTACATAGCTATTTTCTCAAGACATTCTTAATATCTTGCCGTCTTCTGTCTTACTGGGCTACGGTTTTCTTGTGTAGCATTCGTCAAGGCGCTACATAATTGGTGACCCCAATCGCATTCCGGTGAGTTCGTTCCATTTCTTTGGTTTTACCATGCAAGCCGTGGCCTCAGTTTCTAAAATGTGTGAAGACTCATAGTCTGTGCAAGCGGTATCTCTGGTAGTTCCACCATTTATT